TAATGAGGAAAGGAATTATTCAGGGGGCGAATTACTACCGTACGGAGACGACGCACTTCACTGTACTTCGCTGCACAACTTGTTTCGCTCTGCTAGTAGCTGACTTCTGTTGGACGGGGTCAAATAGCATGGATCGCTGTCTTCTCTACAGTGACAAAACATGGATGATCATCACCAACTTTTGAGCCCCACGAGACATAATAGAATCACCTAATGGGGGTTCTACAGCAATAGCCGAGTTTGATGTACCAATGGTGGGATGATCCCAACTGTCTGTGTAATTGACCTCATTTGACAAGCTTGTTTCCCTACGATGTGTTAAGACCCAAGCCTTAGTGTATACACAGCCCTCCCATTTTATTTTTTATCCAGGATAGCAAGATTAGTAAAAGGGCGGCAACGCGTAGCAGCGATAGCTTAGTTACTTATGTTGCATGTTTCTGGTTAGCCGATACAGTAGAGAGGTTGATAGTCAAGCGGTCAATGCAATAATCCGTTACACAGAGACTGGATCTTATGGCGGTGTGGCTGTTTGTACCTCTATAACCTATTGAGCAGTACTGAGGGAGCTCACTTTGACATCCTCGGAGTTTCCGGTACGACGTTGGTCGGTGGGTAGAGGCCCAGGTCCCCCGATTCAAGGCTGTCGCCTGGTCATGGTGGTCGGGGTTCTGTGCTGGAATGATCTTGTAGGCTATACTGGCTGGAGCTCAGTTCCTTAAGGTTCAGTCATGTCAGGAATGTTAACGGGGAGTAGCCCAAGGAAGAATAGTGAGTCCTCGTACTAAATAAGTCCTATTACAAGGCGGTATGGCGGTAGAGTCATACTGTCCTCCGTGACAGGAGTGTGAAGGCAGTAAGTTGTTTCCTCCAGGTGACTGGAATGCTCATAGTAATAGAAGCAGCGATGTTGCTTTCCTTGGGGAAAGGACGGACTAGAAAATGCCGGCCCCCAAAGCAACACACTCCGATCGCCAAACGGTTGTCCGTGACCTCTGGCGCATTACTGGATGTGGTCCAAGTACTCTTAAAACCAGACTCTGCTGCTGGTCAAAAGGCATTTCCTGTGCACAGCCTCATTAGGAGTGAGACGATAATGCTTTACTCCCTGCGTCCTCTGGACAGGTCAGCCCATTGATGCCAAACGGGTCAAGCTATTTAGGCACTGGCTAAGGGAAGAGTCCCTCTTGAAAACCCCAACAACCAATGCTTCACCGTTCGGACTTTTTAGTCGGAGTCTAGGGGAGGATTCCTGTAAACAGTCGCCTTTGTACTGTTAGGTTACCTGATCCAATTGATATGAGTGTATCTTGATGTGTGTCAGCATACCGACGGACAGCAGCTTTGAGGCCGAGAAGGACAGCTTCTATCGTGATCTGTCACGGTTGCTCCGATCACGGGAAGTACCAAGGTTGTGGTTCTGGTAGGTAATATGAATGCTCAGGTTGGCTGACGAAGTCCTGAGGAAGTCCATCTTGGTGGCCGGTTCAGGACTGATGGTCGCCGCACATATAATTGGGAAGGACCTGTTCACTTATGTGCCGATCACCATTTGTTTCCATCCGGCACAAGGTTTCACCACAAGCGCTCATACCTCGTGACTTGGGGCCACAAATGGGAAATAAGCCGTGGACTTAGTTGGACCATATGGCAATGGATAGGTTCGATACAAGATTGTAGCTCATTTTGGAGTACGCCACTTGACTCCGATCACGGCATTTTGTGGGCACATGCATCTGTTCGCTTTTTCTCTGGAATACTTAAGTTCATCACCGGCACAGCGTTTGACGCACAGTTTGACGCCTGTTGTGACAAGGCTTGTGGTGTCACTGATTCTTCGTCGCCTTACGGTGGCACGCGAAGCCTTGACTGTTGTGCATCAAGCGGAAATTTGACCGGGTAAAGGCTGCGTTGTCCATATCTTCACACTCCATCAGGTTTTTAGAGCAACGCCCTAGAAGTTTGTAAACATAATCTGATCTCTGTACTTCTGGGCGGGNTGGGCGGGTGAGAGTGTATGGTGAGCTCTCCAAAGGTTTCCCTACAAAAAATGGTGTCAGACAAGGATGTTCAATTTCGTCATTGATGAAATAATGAGGCGAACACTGGACGGTCTTTCAAACCCTGATGTTCAAATTGTTGCTGGTGAGAGCTTTGTCGATTTTGAGCACGCAGATGACATCGCCCTCATCTTTGAAAACCAAAGCGAAGCACAAGCCCTGTTGAATCGACTGGTCGCCATCATTCCATCCTTTGACATGCGCCTCGCACCTTCAAAGTGCAAAGTCATGCTTCAGAACGTGCCGTCTGCGAACATATCCCTTACAATTCAAGGAGAATCACTGGCGATTGTGGAAAACTTTACATACCTCGGTAGTTGTATTAGCTCTGACGGAAGTGTGTCTGATGAAATCAGTGCAAGAATCTCCAAGGCTCAAATCACGTTTGCTAGTTTGCGTCACTTGTGGCGTCAAAAAGGCATCTCACTAGATCTTAAGGGTCGTGTGTACCGAGCTACAGTAATTGCTGTGTTGTTGTTTGGGTGCGAGACCTGGCCTCTGCGGACAGATGATGTGAGGTATCTTCAAGTTTTCGGCCACCGATGCCTAAGAAGCGTGGATGGCGTCAGCTTGTTAGCAACGAAATGATTAGAGAACGGGTATTTGGTTGTGCTGCAGGTATTTCAATCTGGGAAAACATCCAGCATCACCGACTACGATGGCTACGCATGCCGAAACACCATCTACCTAGACGGGTGTTCTAATGGTTGTACGGCAGTGGAGCATCAGTGTCAATATTGATGTTGCTATCTTTGGTGATGATGATGACAGCGTCTCTTTAGCTCACCCGACCTAAAGCTGTCACCTTGCCGTGGTGGTTGAACTACTGTGCTGCAATGATCCTGCGGGCTACACTGGCTGGAACTCAGTTCCTAAAGGTTCGATCACACCAGGGTCGCCAAAGGGGGGCAGCCCGACGAAGAACAGCGAGTTCCCTTACTGCGAGTAGTCCTATTACGAGGTGATGTGGAGGTGAAATCGTACTGTCCTCTGCGATAGGAGTGTGAAGGCAGTAGGGCGTTTCCACCAGGCTACTAGCATGTCCATATTTATGGAAGTGGTGATGCTGCCTTCCCCCGAGGAAGGACGGGAGCGAGATGGACCCATTGGTTAGAGCGCGAATTTACTGACCGGAAGGTCCGTGGTTCGAACCCGAACTTTGCCTCTCGACTTTTCCTGACTAAGCTTGGGCGACCTGGCAGTATCCCAGCCCTCGTGCCTCCGTGTGGCATGGTAGCTAGGCACCGAGAGAGTGCTACAGCTGAACGATTCGAGGAAGGACGGGTTAGAGAGGGTCGGCCCTCAAAACCGCACATCGATCGCCCAACGGTTGACCGCTACTTCCGGCGCATTATTCAATACGATCGAAGTGCGTTTAAAACCGACGAGTCTGGTGCTGCTCAAACGGCGCAGCTGCGCTATGAATGAGACGATGATGCCTTACTTCGTGCGTCCTCGAGTCAGTTCGGCCGTCTGTATCTAGGTGCGTCAAACTATTGAATCGTTGACTCCGGACAGGGTCCCCGAACAAAACGCTGCATCCTCTCACTGCCTTTTGAGTCAAAGGCTCAAGATAGGTACCTGAACTAAACCCCCTTCTTCGGCCTGGGCAGCCGGGAAGTGTAATTTGCCCCTGCAGCTCTTCGCTCACTGGCCTTCTCCCACACTCCCTCCCCACCTATCGTACAGTGCAGTGCAATCGACCCATCTGTCAACCCCATACCCACTACTCCGTGTCCAAACCATCACCCAGAAAAATAAACAAAAATAATCACTCACTAACCTCAAAAGGTTCGATCCACGGTGCAGCCTTCAATGTCCTTACTCTGCGTCAATTTGGGCTGAAATCCTGTTTTCCCTCTCTATTGATGTATGTTTTTTCTCCGAAACACGCATACAAGAGTCCACTTCGATCGTGCTTCTGAAACCGCTTAGGACGAGATCAGATGTCCCGCATTTCACTCTTCGGGTATCTGGTGATTCTGACGCAAGGCTCTTGGTATCTACCGTGTGGGAGTTAGACTCATCCCTATGCCTGGAAGCGCCTTAATGGACTGAATCCCAGTAAACGGTCGTCTTTGCGCTATGCGGTTGTCTGGCTCAATTAAGATTACTGCATATCAATGACGTAAATCGTGTTTGTTTGTCGTGTCAGCATGCGTCCCAGCAGATTGCAGTTCTGACACTGAGAAGGACGAGTTTTATCGAGATTTGCCACGACTGCTTCGGTCGGCAAGAAGGGCGAACACACTACTCCTGCAGGTGATATGAATATCCAAGTCGGACGACTAAGTCCGGAAGAAGTTGGACATTGGAGTTGGTCCCGAGTGTACGGATAATAGGGAGTGGCTTCTTCAGTTGTGTGGAGATCATCATCTGTTGCTAACCAGTAAGACCCAGTAAGAACACAAACGCTTACTTGGAGGCTACCTATCACAAGAAAGCCGTGGACCCAGTTGGACCATATGGCTATCAGTTACCGATAGAGAGCCTCAGTTAAGGATTGCCTTTCCTTCTAAGGTGCACAACTTGAGTCTGGTCATGCCATTGTGCGGGACCGGTTAGCACTGCTTTCCACCATTGTTGCATGTGCCAAAGGAAGCAGCTCCGTTCACCAACTTCGACAAGTTGGTGGCTGAAGAGTATCGAGCTCATCTAGCTAGAAAGCTACTTGAAACACACAGTCATACGGATGACGAAGATTGCTTTGGAATTGAATGGAGACGAGTTAACGAAGCAATGCTGTCAGCTTTCAGAACTGTTTGCCCAGGCCATCTGGCTCGGCTAAATGAACACTGGATATCGTCGATATCAACAGGTCTTATTGCTGCCAGAAAGACCATACCAGCAACTAGCGACTGTGATGGCGCACGGGGATCCCTCAAAAACCGGATAATCAGGAGCTTGAAGAATGACAGAGAACGCTGGTGAATTTCGAAGGCCCGGGCTTTCGCTGCGGGCAACAGCCGCGCCCTGTTTCAACTGGTTCGATCAACCGGTATAAGGCAGGCAGGTGTCAGTCAAACAATACGTGAGAAAGACGGAACAGTAATCCACTCTCTCACTCGTCGTCTTGAGCGGTGGGCTGAGCACTTCCAAGAACAGCTGACGTGGTCTCCTTCAACACGATTGTTGGAAGAGCTCAGCGTACCTGAATGGAACATTGACACAAACCGACCATCAGCAACCGAAGTCCAGCGTGATATATCAATCCTGAGGCGCGACAAGGCACTCGGCCCGGATGTTCTGCACCCCTTACTCTTCAAAGAAGGTGTCCAGGTCTTGGTGAGCGATCTGACAACCATACTACAGAAGATTTGGAACGAAACCAGAATACCAGTCAAATGGAGCTCCTCGACCGTCATCCCAGTCCTCAAAGAGGGAGCAAGATCGTCATGTGAAAACCACTGTACTATCAGTCTCGTATCCACCACATTTAAGATGCCCTCTTTATGGATCGGAAACGAGGAAATACGGAAGATGTCAGTGTTTGATGACCGGTGTCTCTGAAGTATTGGTCAGGTCTGAGGGGAACATCAAATCATCAGTGTTGAGGGTCGCCGGAAGAAGGAATTATCCCGCGATAAATGAATTGCTCACACTTCATAGATTACACTGGTTAGGACATGTGTTCCGCATGCCAGAAGACCGTCTGCCTCACAGAGGTCTTTTTACCCAGCCCTGTGCAGATTAGAAGCGAGCGAGACGGGGGACAGTGTGTGACCTGGCAACAAAGTATGGAACTTAGTCGGGTCGGCAACTGTTGCCTCCCTGGTTGGAGACCCTAGGACTGAAGTCACCAGTGGTTAGTGACATTGGCAAAAATGGCCCTATTGCGCATTCATTGGTGCACATTCGTCAAAGCTATCGCCTGCAATCCGTATCTACCCAGTTCCCGAACTAACCAAACATGTCATCGCCTCTAAGGCTTGGCTGTATGTCCCACACCCTCCCGTTTTCCGGTTATCGAAACTGTAGCAGCTGGAAACAAAATGCTTATGGTACATGGTTTATAACTGATGAATCGATTGGTTGGTTTGCGGATTTTACTTTATCTCGCAAACAACCATTTCGACTACATCCGTTGTCTTCAAAGCGTGCTTTACAAGTGGCCATCTGCTTTGTTCTTCAAAGTGCTCAACCTATCACCTCAGATGACAACTTTTTAGATTGAATCGCAGGGCCGGTTTCTTGGTCGATTGTTCTGCTGATGGTAGCATTCTCCCGAGAGGCTACTCGAACCAGCTGATATAGCTGTTTCTCATGGAAAAAACTCCCGATTTCCGGGACTTGTATTGTCCCCTGGCTTTCTGCAGACTCTTCATCACAGCTTCACATCCTCCATTCGACTTTCTGGACCATCAGGCTCATCGATCTGTAGGTATGCTTAGTTCTGTCTGTTGTCTGATGATGTGACGAGTTGAATTCTAGCTTCGACCGGACCAGATGCCTCGGGGCTTTGGACACTTTAAGCAATCAATTTCGTGAATGAGTTGAGCTGGGTTATACTGCATTCAGGAGTTTTGACATTGTGAACGGCTTTGGAGATCTCGCTTCTGTGATTGTTCGCCTCAGAAATCTATTGGGCTAGCGGGCACTAAAGCTGGCTACTTTTTGTGGTCCGTGAGTTTCTTAGTGGTCAAACATCTGCATCACAAGGAAACGGCACTTGAAAGGTTCCCGAATCCATGCGACTTCTTCACTTGGATCCTGTACACAGTGCGTTGTATCAGGAATAGCCTGTTCAACACCAGTATTTTCGCCGTCTACATGAAGCTGTCAAGCAGTGCCCACAGATTCCCGACTGTCAGCTACTGTCAACTCCGACGCTGAGGCTTGAGCGCCCACCTTAGAACATATCACATGTTGATGTTTTCCCTGCCTTTCCTCTGCCAAAGATAGCAGCACCAGATTCGCCAAATCGTCAACTCAATCCACACCAATCTGGATTATTCACTTCTTTCCACTACCCACTTGTTTTTACACAGTCGATCTAAACGAATACGCCAACCAAATCTACCGCACACCTCACGTGTCGATCGATGGAAGTATTCACCAATCTGCGTCGACAACAACTCACACCCGAAGCACACAATTTGTGTTTCCGAGTGTGGTGTTGCGCTTATCGGCACCTGCATAATTCATAGGTAGTGGAACCGAAAGTAATGGGTAGACTATGAGTCGCTCAAATGTGCGTCGTCGGACTAAGTCCAAATTTGTCAGATCGTCACGTAGTACTACTTTTGTTACGAGCTTACCACCTTGGGCATCATCCGTCCACGTAAGTAAATTGTTTGCTATACTTGTTTTACACATGCTGTCCTGATGAAAAATAATCGTAGAAGCCCTAAGCTGTTTTATGGCCTATCCCTAGTATGGGTTTGCATGTTTTTGACATAGCCGTGGACATGGATGTTGGCACAGTGACCGAGTTGTATGGAATCGACTCGATCATAACCTCGGGCCAAATTTCCTGTTTCGAGTATCCATTTTCCCTGATAGCGAAACTGGCAAGGTCCCTACTTTTTGATCATCCCTAAGCTTGTCAACTACTGTGGGTTTCAACGTTATCGGTCTTTGACTGCGCTCGGGTACATCTGTGAGTTCGTTCTCACGGATCATTTCTAGATCACCGGGCAGAAAACCGTGGCATAGATATTCGGTCTTGGGCTCCCCATTCCGGCTATGTGCCCTTAATTTTCCGTTGCCTTCCTAATCGTCCAAATGTATCACTGCATTTGTGACGGTTTTTTTGGACAAATTCGGTCGATTATCCATCATTTTACCTGTTCAATTAAGTGGCTGAGTGATAGTGTTTTTTGTGCACCCAACTGCTGAGGATGAAATATCTTGCTAATTTGGCAGTGTAGTTCTACTTCATGGGGTAATCCGAATGCGTGTATCTTTTCGTAGTTCTTGTTTGATCACAAATTATCACGGGTGGCTCAAATACGAGATAAACGCGTCAATTGGCTGGGTTGGATAGCTTTTGTACCCGTGGATTCTCAAACAATATCGACTTGTTGGCCACAAGGGATGGCAAGATGGTTCAAGTGGTCAGAGCGTAGATTTACTGACCGGAAGATCCGTGGTTCGAACTCGACCTCTGCCCCTCTACTCCTGTCTAGACTTGGGCGACCTGGCAATATCCCAACCCTCGTGCCTCCTCCGGGTGGCTTCACCAGGAGAACTAAATGTCCTCATCACCTGCTTTCTGCGACTGTCGAACTTTCAAAATGCCCAAGACATTTTTCGGGGTAGCATCTTGGTGAGCAAAACGGAAAACCTGTCCGGTACGGGTGTTGAAGTTCCTATTTCTAGCCTTGGCGCCTATTGTCTCTTGAGCTTCTTATACGGCACTTCCAATCCCAACTTCACCTCCATACTATCGTATCCGATGTACTACGTACGATTTTTAATCGCTAAAAGTGCCATATCAAACTAGTTGCGTGGAGGTCCCTGGTCAGCACCTATTAACAAAAGCCGGACAGTCGTGATTTGCGCAAATCACGTGGACATTCGTTACCTGCAGACAACTACAGTTTGTGACCTCCACACATGGGGCTGGGGGATCATTCCATAATAGCCGTCCGCAAGATGTTGGCACATTTAACGTCATTCAGCCGCCGTGGTTTTTTTGTTTTGCCGGGATCTTGTTTTTCAAAACATTTATCTTCTGAGACCGAATGAGTTGGCTCAGAGTGTGTCCCATCTAAGCCGTTGTTTCCTCTCATAACGTCCCAGGTTTTCTTACCACAGAACCTATGTATCCGTAAGAACATATTGAGAAGTATGGTTTGCCAGGAGACGAGCCTTTCTCTTAAAAGAGAACAGGAAACCGCTATTGAGCCACAAGTCTTATGTCAGGGGAAGTTCACTTGAGCATTTCCTAATACCACTTGGTCGCTGGATTGTCTTATCCTGCTGGCCATTTACACAACCCATTGCCGACAAACTGGACACACTGTGGTTCTCATCGTATTCCAGTCGTTCCGTTCCGGATAGGAATGTATTCATGCGTAGTATTTTGATCTGGACCTCCATAGAATCCACGAGTGATAACGCAAACCGTTCCCAGCATAACTTGCTGTTCGTTTGACTGTGATCTTCGTTGTGTGCTGCGCCTCTGTGTGCAATGCCTCGTCACTCTGTTGTTCGACCGCAGCCCACGTCACTGTCCACTGAACTTGACACCCCTCAATATTTGCTCATATGTACCTATATATTCATATATAATCATATTCTCTGGAATGAAGCAAATTATCTAGGTGATAGGTCGTCTGATCCCGATAAGCTAAACTGATGAACCCTTGTCAGTACTGCGATCAACCAGACGAGCCCAGGTGGATCGGGTGCCCCGTCCGTTGGTTATGTTTCAGGTTCTTGATCTCACAATCGCTCGCTGGATATCCTCCACAAGTATCGATAAAAAGTGAGATCGTTCATCAACGGTTGAAACCAAGAGTCACACGGAAATCAGACAATAACATATCTCTCTCAGCCATAACCTGTTTCCCTCTGTCGCTAGTTGTGGGACTGGAAACTTTCATTTCCCTCTTGAAAACCTTTTTTCAATGCCAGTTCTGAGTCGGTGCTCTGTAGCTGTTGTTTGCCACGAGCAAATAGATGTATATGCTACACAAATTGCATTGCAGCTGTAGTGGATCAATGAACATATGCCGGTACACACATGAATCAGTGTGTGGATCAGTGGTTCCTGCTCTGTAGCTGTTGTTTGTCACGAGCAAATAGATGTATATGCTACACAAATTGCATTGCAGCTGTAGTGGATCAATGAACATATGCCGGTACAAACATGAATCAGTGTGTGAATCAGTGGTTCCATGGGGGCGAGATGGGTCAAGTGGTTAGAGCAGGAATTTACTGACCGGAAGGTCCGCGGTTCGAACCCGACCTGTGCCTCTCGACTTCCCCTGTCTGGGCTTGGGCAACCTGGCAGTATCCCAGCCCTCGTGCTTCCTTCGTGTGGCATAGAAGCTAGGTACCGAAAGGGTGCTACAGCTGAATGATTTTTTTTATTAATTAGTTTCATAGTGCATCATTTTAACTTATATCAGTAGTATATTACGTTTCAGCTTTCGAGCAGATGTAAACTTTCGACGATGTGCTCAAGCAATCAGGTTTAGGGAGCCTCGAACCCGCGTCTTTCAGCCTGCTAAGCTTGGGGCGCTTTGGCTTTTGTGAATGAAAAACGAAACGGAAATGAAGAAGAGTGGGGGTCTAACTAGTTTTCAGGAGGATAGACATGTGCGTTGAGCAATATGGTTTTATCCCATCGGTTAGGCACTGGACACTGTGTGAATGCTGAAATGGCTTTTACACTCATCTGCCGAGTACGGTCAATACATCAGAACAAGGATCTTGAGACCATGGGGTCATCAATGTATGAATTCACCAACAGGAACCTTGTGTCTCACCAGTGATTTGTACAGATAACAGTGTCTATATAGTCAGCTATTCAGGTGATGAGATCTCGTGATCCTCATGCCTTGTTTGATCTTTAGCCAACTTTCTGATCGAGACCGCTACATTTTAGTGTGGTGCCATTATTGAACACTGCTATTACTGCCAAAGATTTATACGTTAGTCTGGTAAAGAGATGATGAAAAGAAACCCTTTACTCACTGTGTATTGTTTTAAATAGGAAACTCTCTAAATATTTACTCAACATGCGACGGTTTGTGTCTCCACAGACATTAGTTTGGCTGATATGAATCGATTGCTTTCTTATTGGGTTTCATAGGCAAAAGACGAGACACGTGATTTGACAATACTTAGACGTCATTATTTGGATAGAACTGGGTTAGCTCTATCGTGAAGTCAGCCACGGAGGTCCAGGGTAGGTCATCTGATGAAATGTGTAGCCTTGACTTTGGCGATGGAACCAGGCCATACACTCAAATACTCGTCGCTCAGTAGTCGCTACCAAGTATGACCTTCGACAATGCTGCTTAAAGTGCCCACCACGTTTATCCCCTTCAGTGAACCTCGGGTTTAGTTTTGCGTCTCTAATCCGCACAATCTGAGTGAGGAAACTGTCCACCATAATTAGTATTCTTGCGTCGAATTCTCATTGGGCAGTCTCACGCGGGGTACTGTCAACGATGTTTACTGGTAAAGAACGACCAATCGAGAATCTCCGAGAAACAATCACTGTGCTTCCAAGCAAAAGCACAGTCGATCTTCATATTCAATCTTGTTACACCACTTTAGACTTTTCGATTGCCTTGGACTTCTCATTGTGTTTTCTCTGCTTTCTATTTGTTTTCAGAATGAACAGTTACAACAAGACTTAGAACGATATATGAAGTTGAGCGATGGGGCTTCGCGCATTTTGTCCATGGCCCAGAACCCACGACATCGCCTGGATGCTGCCAAAACACTGTTCGTTAGCAACACCCAGCTTATGGCTTGTCTGCGCCAAGTGCAACGGGAAAAGGTGGATGCTGCCTACCGGGCTAGTTCTCTTGGTGACTGGTCACCTCCCACGGATGCGGGCAAGTCTAAACCGATTCCTGCCAGTACCGCCCAGCCTGGACTGGCTAGACTCCTCCTTTCTGGTAAGCACAATTCTGGTTTTGTTTGCATCCGTAACACAGCTCTGCGGACAGTCGTTGTTTTATTTCCAGAAGTGGACGGAAAAAAAAGACGATTCGTTTGAGGGAAATTCCACTTCAAGCACTACGGGGCACCGGAACTGGTTGATGCACGTTTTCCCCGTTGCGTCGTCATTATCAATGGCAAGAAAACGAAACTTGTGTGATCGCTACAAAATGGGGGGCCCATCTGCACGGTTTCTGATTGAATGGTCAATATTAAGCCCCGGGTAACCTACGCCGAATTGTAGATGGTTTGTGCTGAGAAAGGAAGAAGGCCTTTGCTGCAGAGGCATTTATTGGGAAACAACAGCTGAACAGTCATAGACTATTACACAGGGAAGCAAAACTCTCGTATGCATCTTGTTTATAAAAACTGATTATCCGTCCTCTTCTCGAAGCGTCTTCCTTGACTTTCCTGAATACTCATTGACTATCGCTCAAATGTAAACGAATGTTACAAAGCAATTCCACAAAATCCGTAAAAAATCTCACTTTTCAGTAGACGCGAAGCCGATTTACGAGAAAACCACATGCTACTCGCATGCGTCATCAGTAGTATCCGCCGCTACACATCCAGCTACCTGTTTTCGTCTCCCAACTGTGTTTTCACATTAGTGAAGTTATGTACTTGTTCAGATACGAGTGTAAAACTATGTTTTTAAAAAAAAATTAGAGTGCCAACAGCACCGATAATTGCTGTTCGCACAACTCATCGGATGCTCAAATGTGTTCACCTGCGATAAGTCCACTCTCCGGTTGGCTCCGTGGAGTTCAAAGTCGGTCGATCCCTGTTTGTGCGAAGTCACTGATTATTTTTAACTGCAGTACTGACTAAAATAAATAGGCGTTTTTTTTGAGCGTACAGTCTTTACCTAGCTGCAGTGAAATGCTCTGATGATTGGTTAGACAGCGATTGCTCGAATTCTCATCGGTGTTGACCGATATTCTCATCAGCCTGTAGGCCACTGGTCTTGCCTTAGGTTCTGTATTTTCTGGTAACCTCGGGATTATCCTCAACTGCTTTTTCCGCGCCCCCGAACGGGTAAAATAGGTGCAGGTCAAAAAACATCCTCCATTATACGTAAGATAACTGGTGAGCTGGCCTTCAGTGGCCCGTTTTTAATAAGAAAATCGTTCGTTTGTTCACTTTTCCGAAATTGACTCCGCTGATTTTTAAACATCCTTTATGATATCTACTTGCGTTGCTTTTGTGGTGATCTGAATTTAGTTGTAAGCTATTATCATGTCTGTGTGAAAACCGAATATGAAGCAACTTTTTTGTCAATGTACTTTCATCATTATCAGAAGCAACTGTCTTTGGCTTTTGGCAGTCCTTCTATGCGAATGCCTGCTTACGAGTCTCAGATAGGTTCTCCTCTTGATTCTTTGTGAAGATGCGTTTGAGTATGGCGGTGAACCATCATTGTTGAGCACTGACGTGCTGTCCATGATGTGTTTGATTTTGTCATGTTGCGCTGTGACGAAGTGAAGTTCCTTTTCAGTCTGCACAACTTGTGTTATTGATCACCATCGTTTGGTCTTCTACTTGTGGTTTCAAGTAACTACTTGGGTGCGGAATCGGCCAGATTCAGGCAGCTCAAAACAGTCTGGAGGAAACAATAACTAGTTTGTTAGGATAGATGGAGCCAGCTCAGCGGAGGGAGTGTGTCCTTGTGGATAGGATGTCTGTGCTTAGTTTCACGTTTCAGTAGTTAGGTCAGTATCGGAGTATTACGATGTTTCACACGTTCCTTATGAGCTCTCAGCCGTCAACAGTCAGTACAGTAACGCTCTCAGTCCAGTGTTTTCCTTCTATTTCCTACTGAAGTTCACTGTTTAGGTATAATCAATGACTGTTTGACACTGAACTCTCAAGTGCAACCCCTCGATTCCCTGACGATGGGATTGGCGTAAGAAACTAGGGAGCTAACCCTGGGGCACGCCCTCGGTTTTGACGATTTCCTTCGAGTATGATGCCTTAGTTTAAACGTTCGTTCCCGCTTTCCCCCATTGGAGTCCATGTTTACTTGGCATAGAACAATCAACGTGGTTGCAGAGCACAAAGCCTAACCGATTCGCACGGCTCGGTGCCAACGAGGGCCGGATTCGCCGAACTCTATCCACACCCTTTCGGAGTGTGGGTTTCTAGCCCTGTTTCCTGAGACCGCGATTTCCGAACGTCAGCTGTGTGTAATGCTTAAATGGCATTCTCTTTCATTCGAACTCGGTTTGTCAGTATAGTATGCGCTAGACGCTCCCCACGAATGGCACGAAGCAGGAAACCATTTTATATGTTCAACCTCCTTCATTTAGCCTGTGTAATCTGTGTGACATCAGTTTTTAGTCATGAACCCTGGGGTGAACCTAGGGTTTCATCAGGCCAAAAGATCATCGCGACACTTCGATGATTAAGGATAACTTTTGTCGTCTTCTTGATGATGGTGGACCCTGGTCGCTGAAATTTCGGAGCAAAATTATTCAATTCACAGTTTTTATCAAGGGAAAAATTCTGACGCAACACCTCGCTTACTTAATTCCTATAGCCTGGTGGTGACCTTGGGATCCTGATATTGCCCAGTCGCAAACATCGATCTATCAGCATGGGTTGAGTACAGTCGAAGCAGCCGCAATATCATTACGAGATCCATTACTAAGTTTTAGAAAAGGGTTCTTACGTACTCTGCTTCTGCCTCAACAAGTATCGTTCGACCCAGTCGTTTGGTGGCCGGGTGGGCCATTAACATCATCTAATAAAGTGGAACTTTAATGCTAATTGCAACCAACTGGTGAGATTTTTCTGCCTTTTTATTTAAGTACCACTTTTAGACATTTCTTTCCTTTGACCTTCTTAACCATCGGCTATGTAATGATTTGACGACAAGATCCTGAGATCACGTCTGTCACTCCGTGACTTTGTTAACTGAAAGTCGCAGGAAGGCTGTTTAAGTGGTTATGTAGGGGTTAAGTGTACTAAAAACTGTCCAACTTATGATAACCTATATTTTTCGGACCTTGATCACGTGACATTTGTACAGTACAGATTCAGGGTGCCTTAATCTACGGATTGATTGAAATTAGCGATACTAATGGTCTCCATGACCGTAATATGGCCATTCTGACGACGTAACACTTATTTGTGCGAGCTGGCATGCGCAGATAGGAGGATGGGATCTTGCAAAGTGACGGCGCGACTGTTCACACATGCGACGTGATAAGGAGCTGTCTTTGGTTACGTCACTCGACTCGACTCGTTCGACGGTTGGACATACACTCTTGATCTTGGAACACCCAGTGTATGGAACAACAAAAGTCTGGTACTCCGATTTGTGGCTGCTCGGTAATTGGAACTGAGCACTATGGATCCCAATACGCACTGGAGGTGTGGCGAAGTGATTTAGGATGGGGGGGGGGCGGCTAGGGGTACACTGGTCGGAATCCATCGTTTAAAATTTCCTAGACAGGTATATGTTTTCGTCCTCAATATTTACGACTCTGTGTCACTGATTTGGGTGTCAACATCTATTCCACTTAATGTGATTCTGATGTATATAATCTGTTTTGACTGTACATCTAGATATACGGATTCCGTTGCTTTGGCGAGATGCTCCACTCGGGAGCAACATGACCTTCTTGATGAACCGCCTTTTCCCCCCAACCTCAATTCTCCCTGGCGGGTTGTTAACCGGGGCTGGTGATATCGCGGACAAAGCGGATTCCAACGACCCATGCGATGGTTACAGCGTATTTTGTCTGGTGCAAATCGGGAACGCCATAAAAGACACGCGTCTAGTGTTCGATATCACACCAGGCGTGACCGACGTGGAGTTTGAAGACAAGCTGATGTTGTAAGTTTGATGTGTTAGTGATGAACCATGCTTCTTTGGTCCAGTACGGCTGTTTCTTCGTGTCAGTCTCTTTCTCCAACGCTTTTCAACGTCTCTTCCTCTGGTCTAGTGAGAACGTGTCCCCAGACTTTCGGTGTACAATTGACGTTTATGCGTGCCCCCGATTTGCGTTCAAGGGATCGATGGTACAGTCGCGTCGTCGCGCTCAGATTATGGACAATTTGCGGAAGACACTTGATCAGGCAAGTTGCTCACAATTTGCATTGTTTTGTTCCCTTCTCTTGCTTGGCCCTCATCACACAAGAACGTTACCCCATGTGAATGGGGCTTTGGGTGATTCTCTTTCGTATGCATTCTTGAGATGCGGCGTAACTAGTGGTGTCGAAGACGAACCAAATACTCGAGTTCTGTCCCCCCCCATGACGGCACGTAAGACCCGAAATCGCACTTCAGTGTGTCCTCGTTGCTCCCCAGGCAGCAGTGATTGAAGTAGTAGACACACCCTGTAGCATGACTGTCCTGACGGAAGTGCAGTGCACTCTTTCGAGGAGGAATACGAATGTTGCACCGCCTCTAAATTTATCAAACGTTTGGGCATGCACTTTTTACATTTCTGATCTGGTATGCTATTTCCGATCCAATGCCTCCTGCGACTGATTTCTGGCTGGCAGCCCGCCATTTGCGATTTTTGGACTGCAGGGATCAGCGATGGCAAAACTGCAAAAGAAGCTTGCACAAATACTTTCACCCGGATTATGTGAAGTAACAGTTTACATGCCTATACAGGTAGACTCCTTGAGCCAACAATACGATCTTGGCGAGCGTTATTTATTTGCGATGTTCGCGTTTGGGGGTTTCATGAGGGTTCCTGACCGAAATCATTAGCCGTCTCGGAAGGCGTAGTAGCCATGCAGAAGTTACGATAGCTTGATTGAGTTGTTTCATAACCGTCTTTTTCATCCTCGTTCTCTTCAATGACCACAGTACCGTTTCAGAGCAGCCGTGATCTCTTCTTCTTGTCGATAGTACGGATAGACATTTCCCCTGCTACACTGGTTCGGTCTTCGTTCTTCCAACCCAGTACGATTGCAGTCTTCTTTTCGATTACAATCTCGTTAATTTTTGGTCAACTGTATGTAGTGCTCGATGATGCATGTCTCGAAGAAACGGAACCTCGTCATTACGCTCGGGTGTATGCATCATTCAGATATGACCTAATAGTTTCAAAATATCTTCATGTGACCGTCAGACCATTGGTTACAAGTTGCAGTTCATTGTACACAACTATCCTGGCCCTGATTCGTTTTTATAGTGTCGGGACATCCGAGCCACTAGTCGGAAATACAGCATTATGTTAGATTACCGTCCATCCCCTAGTCTGATGGCAAACGTTTTGGCCAGAAGCTGGGTTTCGGAACTTGAGAGGGAGAGAGAGATGATGTTCAAGCCTCCTCGCAGTCATTTACCTGTCAACCACTTTCAATCGCACACACGCAGTCACTGGAGATTCGATCATTATGAATGTGCTCGTGTTTTATCGTGCATCTACTGCACCCTAAATGGCCAATCACCCACTTAATCATTTGGATCACAGTTTGATTTAAATGGTGTGCTTAGTTGAACTTAGATTTACAATCAATGGATAGCCGAACAGATGCGCGCGTGCGGACCCAGACACCACTTCCATGTGAATGTCGTTAACGCTGTGTCTTGTAGGCTTGCAAAGTACATCGACACACACCTAACAACTAGTTTAGTGTCAGTTTCGAATAGCTAATCCTCAACTTACTTCCACTTTCGGCAATTTCTGCGATTGATCACAGCCTATGTATCACAAAAGCAAGCATCGCGTTATCTGGTGCCCTCCCAACCACAAGAGATTGAGCAAACCGGTTATCCACCAATATTGTGCTTAAGGCCGTCGCTTCTTTCGGAACAGCTATACGAAGTCAGATCGTGTCTTCGTTCGTGCCCGTTTGATGCAAGGTGAAAACCATTCACGAGTATATTGTTCACTGGTTGTCAAACAAATCTATTATTATCACCTGCCTAGAAAACTGGTGAACGCGGATCGAATCGGTCGAAATCCAAAGCGTTATTAATCCGGCGTTCGACTGTGTGCGACCCAAACAAAGCCATGGCCAATCCAAGTTTAATGTCAAAGCTATCCATGTCCTTAATCAAGGCAAAAAGGACGATACCCCCGGGCTCACAACACGATTCAGCAACATCACTGAAGCAACGCTTGAATCGTATCCGGATAGGTAAATGGCTAAGTAAAGCCCAAGGACTGGAAAAGGTGGCGGCGACAGCAAATAGTCGCACTGTGGTCCAAATGAGTCAAAACACAGGACCAAGAAAACCGTTGGTCGACGAACTCATTACGAAGGAGCCGACCCAATGGCCCATCCTAAGACTAGCTATCTCGTCAGTGGACGGAACGCTTTGAAGAGCAATCTAGCTGGCCTGAGGTGCCAAACCTAACGATCAAAGCACCACCAGCTTCACAGTTGGACGTGACTGTCCCATGAAAGTCTGTGGAGTCCGTCAACAAAATTGGTTTTTGTCAGGCCTATCCAGTTGCAAGCTAGGGTGAGTACACTACCAAATGTGATCGTGGTATGAGAACCACTGGAGAAGGTGGACTGGTTCACCCGTTTGGGCAGTTGCATGACGCGGGATGGCATCACTGATGACGGAGCAAATGCTACATTCCCTAAAGTCCGTTCTGCTTGCCTTCAACCCATACACCTGTTGGGTCGCGTTTGCTAAAACAAGATGAGCAACATCTGACCTGGACATGCTAAACGTAACCTGAGTCTTAGCTAACCTGATGCATGTTGTCTGCAAGTTTGGGGCTAGGAGAGACCTACCACATCGATGGTTGAAGGTACTCATGGCGTTGTCTTATCTATTCTCTTGTTCTTAATAGCCCGCCAGTTTTCATAAAGGAAACTACTCACAAGGTTGCTGAAAACTCTTCGACAGCCCACGACCGGTTTCGCCCTTCTTGGGGCTCATCAGGTATGCGCAGTCCCCGAGTTTCCGTCAACCTTATGTTCTACCCGCCAGCTTGTTGAAGGAACTCTTCGATGGCCCACGGTCGGTTTCATCAAGTAGGTACACTCCCAGAGTTTCGGTCGACTTTGTTCTATTTGTATCTAATTTGTAAGAAATTCACCAAAGACACTCGCTTGCACACCAATTCGCATTTGAATGTAATAAACGAGAGATCCATCTGGGATTCGATTGACTCTCCCGTTAAAACCGACTTGGTGTGCAAATGTGTTTATTTCCTAGACCCGCTATTGTCTTCATATTCTTTTGTTTCTTTTGTTTCCTCCTTCCTGCACTATCGGCTGCTGCGAACTGCCACGATCCAAACCGACAGCTTATTGCTCACACTGAATTTCTTTGATTGTCGTAGTCAAAAACTTTCTTCCAAGTAATCGGACTGTCCTCACCTTCCCACCTCTGACCTCTCAATAGCCTAATCAAAACTTGAATACGGTGCTTCAGGACTTGACTCTGGTAGGACCTTGACTACTTTTTTTAGTCTTGTTGTCATTTGGTTTTGGCATCCGTCCGATTCTGAGCTTTAAATGAAACCTTTGGGGGTTGAAATACGAACAGACTTTTCCGGCCTAGATAGGGATACCAGACTAGACTCGAACCACGGATCTCCTTTAATAAACTGCATTATTCTGAACTCTTTCTGGCGTTGGTAACGTGATTAGATAAACTTGATTTAATGTCTATTGTCAGAGAGAATGTTAAACCTCTACCATGATTGTTGTTGCATCTCAAGAAGCCTAGCCACACAATAGCTTTTGTCCTTTTCGGGACTCATCAGGTGAACATAGGGGCTCGAGCACGTGTTCCAGCTTCAGACCGCCTCTCTTCAGAGCACGTGTTCGCTTGACGTCAGGCGTGGTCCAAAGTATAACAGTCTGTAGTAGTCAACCAACGGGCCTGTTGTTTGATTCCAAGACATTCACCCGTTAGGGTTTAGATCCATCGAATGGCTGGTCTGTTTGAGGTCTAGCCGCACCTTTACTGCAGCCCAAGTCCTCTGTGGGGACTCACATGACTATTCGGATAAGGTATTCCGATTTGACTTAATTGTCTGATCGTCTCATTCGATTGTCTGATTAAGTCCGGATCTGATTAATTATACAATCACACCTAATTCGTTTGTAAGAGTGCCTTATTCGTATTTAGGTAGCACGAATGCTCATGAGCAGTTGGTCTGTTTTAGCATCTCATTCCACTCCAAACAAACGTCTTCTCTGTACTGATCGATAATTAGTTAGAATGATCAATCCAAACATTACCAGATTCACTGTATAAAGCAATAGTGTCCGAAATTGGTAGTTCATACTAGATAGAACACTTCTTGGCCCTATCACGTGTCTCTGTAGTGCAAACGAACGCACGAAGAAACGGCTAATTGACAGTATCCAAGACGTCGAACATCTTGCTGTAATTGTACAATACAACACAACGAGTTGTCAGGCGGAAAAAAGCAACTGCGCGGATCGAGGAGCTTGGTGGTTTCAGGTAGCTGAGAAAATGGAGCAAGCGAGGAACTCTGAGGAACCCTGCGTAAACCCCACTAGCTGCTACACAAAACAGGCACAAAGAGGTCTCTGGTGAGCGAGGCATTTTGGTAAAAACGGCTCGCCTATCTTCAAGAAAACGAACGCGTGAATCGTTAGGTTGAACACCTTGAATAAGAGTTCAACTGGTCACCTGCGGCAGATCAGCCTATTCGCGGCCTGAACAGTGAACTTGGAGCTCTCGACGACTTCGGAAATAAGCGCATACCTTTTGTCCTTCAAGTGTCGCCGAGTTGATGGTCCTGATGAACTCTCACCCGCTCCGTTTATAACTGGAGGTGGAATTCTCGGTCGGTGCTCGTCTAACTTACTTTTCCTCTAGCTGGGCGAAAGAGCCCGTCCGAACAAACTGGGGTGATTCAAAACCGATGCCCATCTTCAAAAAGCGTGCTTGCAGTGGGTTCGGCAACGCGATTGACCCTGTTTGTAACCACAATCTTTGCGTCGCTCATTTCACACCATCTTACGAGGGTGCGTGAAAACGGGACCCGAGAACAGCTGTTTGACAACCGATGTATCAGAGGTCTAGAACCAGTGAATTCGCAATGAGGTGATCAGGAAACGGGTGTTTGGTGAAGCTGATGGTACTTTACTTAAAGAATACATTCAACATTGCAAGCTTAGTTGGCTAGATCACGTGTTACTTACTCTGACTTACCAACTACCGAGATGAGCGTTATTTTTCATGAGTGATTCGGAATAACACAAGCGCATAAGTGGGCAGATTATGATGTGACAGAAAGGAATGAAGGATGTTGCGAAATGCTTGGGTGCTATTGATGCTTTTCGCCTTTCAGCAAGAAGCCCGCCTTACCCTCTCTGTCCTCGGACTGGAAACACTGAACGATACAGAGTCTAACTGATTTCAGTGACATTTGTTTTGTCGGTTTCTATCCAGATTGTCTGACTGAGTATTGGAGGTGTAGGCACCGCAGTTATTTGTGGTGGGCTGACCATAGACCTGGCTGACTAAAGGTGGGTAAACCACGCGTCAAACTGAAGACGGAATCGAATCGTTTTCACTGATATTCCTCGGTAGGCCAGAAACGGTCGATGATATGGTGTAGTTGTGGAGATTCTTCGTCGCTGGATCACTTCCAAACTGCAGCTTAAACTTATGAGATCCTGCACTTTAAGTTCAGGCAGCAACCTTCCCATCAAACACAGCCTCTAAACTATGCATACCTGCCTACATTTTTCAGAGTAATGTGTCAGCTGATGAATGTGTTCATAAGCACACCATCATTCAGCCTTATCGACCACCACATGACCCACTATAAGGGTGACCTTGTTTCTCCTCAACTACAGACAGTCTCTTTTGAGATAAATTTTTGATCGATCACATTCACTAACGCGTCGTGCAATTTGGAGTTTTCCTCCTTGTGTGAATCATGTTACTTTTCAGTCATTTCCAGTGTAGCCAACTGTCGCTTGTTAACTTGTAACTTATTTAGACAACATCTATAGGTACAGTAACATGCTTTGGCTTTTCTGATCGTTGTTCCTGCCAGGCCTGAGTGGAACAAATCCAGCATTGCAGTTTCAACCGATGGGTTGCATATCGCTCCAGTCATCTTTTCAGTAAATTGTGAATGCATCTGATTGTCTAGTTAACTTGATATACCAACAATCTGAGGTATTATTGAGTGTACCTGTACTGACGTA